TATATATGCTACTTGCTTTCAAAACTGTAACTCCAACCCTGCCTTCTCTCCTAGGCGTTAGATACACATATGACCAATTATTAGATCACCAAAAATTGTTTCCATTACCTACTTACAAAGTTTATAGCATGACAAGTTATGTGGAACGATTTTAATAGCCTTTGAGAAAGTTTAAAGTTTAATTTTGGATTAAGTCTAGTTTTTAGTTTCACTGTCATCATTTCATCCTATCCATTTCTTTTGCAGTGTATTTGTCATCCGAGCATGGCTGAATGTCAATTTTGTGTAAGATTCACATTTAGGATATTGAACACTCCTTAGAAATTTAAAAAACATGCAAAATATTCATTTGATCAACTCAAGTATGTTTTAAACTGTGATTTAATGAATTTAAAATTAAGTTTTCCTGCTTTGTTCTTCTTCAAGGATGTCTTGGCTATTCTTGACCCTTTGCATTTCCCTATATATTTTAGAATCAGCTAGTCAGTTTACACACACACACATACAACTGCTCAGATTTTAACTGGAACTGCACTGAATCTATAATTATCGGAAAATTTAATCTTTATTACTGAGTGTTTCAATATGATCAAAAAACCTTAACAAAAATGTGCAAGACCTCTAACAGAAAAAACTATAAAAATTATTAAGAAAAATTAAGGAAGACCTAAAAATAGAGGAATATACCATGTTCATGGGTTGGAAGGAGGACTTATTCTACCAGTTATTAAGCCTTACTATAAAGTACCTATAAATAACAGTGTTCAACTGGTGGAAGAGTAAACAAATAGACCAATTGAATAGAACAAAGAGTCTATAATCAGACCCACATACATAGGGATGTTTGATTTATAACCAAGGGAGTGTTCTGGGCATTAGAAAAAACGATATTTTTTTCTCCAATTAACTGGGCTGTGTCAACTGGATATCTATGCGGGGGATGGGGGAAGGGATCTGACCCTTACCTGATACCATACACAAAAAATCAATTCCAGATGGATTATAAATCCAAAAATAAAAGGTAAAATAATGTGGTTCCTCGAATATAGCAGAGGAGAATATTTTCATGACCTTGGGGGTAGGGCAAGATTTCCCTAAATAAGATATAAGAAGCACCAAATTTGGCTACATTAAAATTAAGAACTTCTGCTTTAAAAGACACTGCTAAGAGAGAGAAAAGGCAAGCCACAGAATAAGAAGAAAGTTGCCCACATATAACTAAAAGAGGGCTTGTACCTAGAATATATGAAGAGCAAATTAATAATAAAAAGACAACTCCCAATAGAAAAATGAGAAGAGACTTTAACAGGAATTCACAAAAGAGGATATCCAAAAGTCCAAAAAAGATCAGATCATTAATGATCAAGGACAGGCAAATGAAAACCACTATGAGATAACACTACTGTGGGGTTTACATTAACCTTACCTGAAGAATTTAGTCTTTGCCCTCAGTTCCTGAGAGATTATCTCTAAAAACCTTGGAAATGTCTTCAGTAAGGACCCCAGGCCACACCTAACAGATTAGGTGAGGTGATGAGGTGACTCCGGGGCGGAGGCTGGCTAGTCCAGAAAGACTCACCATGTAATACCTCATGATCACCTTGTGGTATCAACCAGCCTCAGGGAAGAGGGGCTGGTCAGGCCAGAAAGACCACCTCACGATTATCAGCTGACCTCATGGGAAAGGGGTTGGAGTTTGCATTACTTGATGAGACCCTCTAAACTTCACTTTGGGAACCCTTTCAGACCTCACCTTATGTGTCTCTTCATTTGTATCCTTTTTTCTACAATAAAACTGTAATTGTAAGTATAGCATTTTCCATGAGTTTTGTGCCGTTCTAGTGAGTTATGGAACCTAAAGGAGTAGTGGGAGCCAGCAGGTCACAAGTGAGAGAGCTCAGGGGGAACTCCTAAGCTTGGGCTGGCATCCTGAAGGGATAAAGGGAGACTGCTGAATTTGTAGCCAGCAGGTCAGAAGTTAGGGTGTTGTACAGACTCCCAAACTTGTGGCTTGCATCTGCTTATCTGGCAGTCTGAAGGACGGTGTCCTTTTAACTTATGAGATGTGACCTAGCTCCAAGTGGTTAGGATCAGAGAAAGAAGTGCTGCATGGGCAGGTGGTCTGAAGAACGGTGTCCTCTTAACTTGTGATATTTGACCTAGCTCCGGGTGGCTACAGTCAGAAAAAGGAGTGCTTCATGTTACAGCTAGTGTCAGAGAAGTGAAAAGATGGGGATTTGGATTTATGCTGAGTATTACCCTCCCAGCTGTATACCCACAAGAATGGCTAAAATGGAAAGGACTGACAATACCAAATGTCGGTGATGATGCAGAGCAACTAGGACTCTTATAATCTGCTGGAGTAAGTGTAATTGTTAAAACCATTTTGGAAAGTTGTTTGGCAATATGCATAACTTACAATCCAGCAACTTCATTAGAAGATATGTACAAGAATATTCATAGCAACCTTATTCATAATAGCCCCAAACTAGAAATAATGCTAATGTCCATCAACAGTAGAATGGATAAATGGTGATATGCTCAACCAGTGGAACATTATACAGTAATGTAAATGAACAAACTACTATTGCAGACAACAGATGAATCTCACAAACAAAATGCTGGGCCAAAAAAGATAATCAAAAGAAATATATATACTATAAAATTCATATAGAGGCAAACTATGGTATTAGAACTCAAAACTAGTGGTTGCCTTTATATAAGGGAGTAGTGATTGTGAGTGGGCAATAAAGAGGCTTCTGGAACAACAGTAATGTTTTGTTTTCACCCTGGGGTGGTACATAGATAAATACTTTGTGCTAATTCATCAAGCTATACACTTTTTTCTATGTATGTCATACTTAAAAAAAAAATAGAGTAAGTATAAATGGAAATGTGAAAGCTGGAAAATGAGAAAGAGAGACTAAAAAAGAATTAATGCATTTGAATTGAGGTGTGTTGGTGAAGAATACTGAATATACATACCATGGACTGCCAGAAAAACGAGCAAGTCTGTCTTGGAGGAAGTACGGCCAGAATGCTCCTTAGAAGCAAAGATGGTGAGACTTTGTCTCACTTACTTTGGACATGTTATCAGGAGGGACCAATTCCTGGAGAAGGACATCATGCTTGGTAAAGTAGAGGGTCAGTGAACAAGAGGAGGACCCTCAGTGAGATGGACTGACACAATGGCTGCTACAATGGGCTCAAACATAACAACAATTGGGAAAATGGCACAGGACCGGGCAACGTTTCGTTCTATTATACACAGGGTCACTGTGAGTTGGAGCTAACTCAATGGCACCTAACAACAATAACATAAATGGAAATGGATTAAAAGAAAATAACCACTTATCATTTATAAAATACTTAATATTTTTGTCATGCACATCACTTGTAATTCAAAATAACACTAATATTTGTGCTTCCCAAAGTCATAGACCCAAAATGATAAGATACTGAACTTGAGCTAACCACGGCACAATGACTGCAACAAAACACCTAACGCTAAATAAAAGCAAAGCTAAAACATTTTGAACCAAAGATCTTCAAATGCTAACAAACTTCATAAAAATAAAATAATTTTAGTTATTTAAGCAAGTTGGTTTATGGTAGATTGATCTAGACTCATCAGAAAAGTAAGTTTATGATGTAGAATTATTTTGTTCAACAAGAGAATAGTACCTCAGTTTATGAATGGACTGCATAGTATATCTTTTACATTACATAAAATTACTATATTCATTTCTAGATTCTAATAATTTTTTTAACTTACCAAATAAATTAGTGCTGCATATGAAGCATATATTATGCTAGTCAAAGCAGTCTTTGCTGGAAAGGAAATAATTTCAAACAAAGAACCCCTTCTGACCTGTGAAACAGAAAAGAGTTTTATTAAAATAAAACTTCAATTTTAGAGTTATTGTAAAATGAGAATTTAAATATTTCTTTCTAAAGAAAGTCATCTAATTTAGAGTTACCTGAGTTTTTTTCACATTCTGAAACTATATTGCTTATTTTTCTCCTTTTAATGAAAAGATACTTTCTTTTGCTAGTCAAAACCTACGACAAGTTTATAAGTCTTTTGTTTCCAAAATCTGTTAAACTTTTTACACTTACCAACTGTGGTCACTAGGGGGTGCTGCTCTGCATATTAGAAAAACAGTCTTTCCTTTGTTCAAGTTCATGTACTCATTCTTTACTAAATCATTCACATCCTCAGTTAAGCAAACAGCAATTAAAATACTAAGCATTTCCTGGGTATTAATGATCTGCTTGGAAATGTTAATCATGAGACTCCTGAAGGCCGGCATGAACGTTAGACGATCACGACTTTTCAGAAACTGCTCTGTGCTCATATCCAGCATTCTTTTTTGAAACGTAGAGGTTTACACCAGTAGCGAATTTGCCTCGCAGACATTTCTGGTTTCTGGTAATATAAGGTATCCCTGCCTCAAATATATTAGTATAACATACTCAGTTTAAGGGAATTACTCTCTTACAGGCCACTTCTGTTGCCTTGAACAGGATATGAAACAAGGACATTAAGCAAAACATTCCTTTCCCACTCAGCAGTGAAGTGGCAGTTAGCCATGCTCCTCTGAAGAGCGCAGACACTCAGTGGCTTCAGTGAACTCCCAAAGACACAGGCTGTAGCTAATAAAATCATGTATGCACAGTAAAAATGCCCACAAAAACAAAAAGAACAGTGAGTAACATCTTCACTAAAAAGTTGTTTGTAACAATGAAAAAACTGAAACAACCAATGATAGCAGGATAGTGAGGTAAATTATGGTCTATCTCTCAGTGGTATACTATTGAGCCTCTAAAAAGGTCCTTCTGAAGAACACGTGATAACATTTTATTTAACAAGCTTCTATGGTGCTATGTACCAGGCCCTGTTCTAAGTGCTTTGTAAACATTAAATCATTTAATTCCTAAAACAATCTTATGAGGTTAGCACTATTATTATCCCCCTTCCACAGATGGAGAAATAGAAAAGGAGAGGTAGGTAACTTGTCCATAATTACACAGCTAGTAAGTAGCAAAGCTGGATTTAAGGCAGGGATTGTGCTCCGGGGTCCAAGCACTTAACCCGACCCTTAACTGTGCTGCCAACACCGCTGTGCCTTGGAATAAGCTGTTTATGAAGAGGCGGTACAGTAGACTATTATGAGGATGGTCTTTGGGTCTAACAGATACAGGTTTGTGTCCTGGCTCCAGGACTCACTAAGCAATGACATCTTGGACAAATTAATTATTTTCTCTAAGCCTCAGTTCCCTGAACTATATTGGAAGTAATACCTAATATCTACCTCACAGGTTTGCTGTGCAGACAAGAAATTGCTTGTAAAGTGTTAGCAGAATGCCTGTACATGGGTAGTCTTTAGGGACATGGTAGGTATTATCAGTACCTTATGAACGATGAGAAACAGCAAGGGGTAGAACTGTAAACATAATACAGTGTGATCCCACATATGAAACATACAACGACAGGGCAAACTAATCTATGCTGTTCGCAATCAGGATAGTGGTTATCCTAGCAAGGGTGGGATTAGTGACCCGAAGGCAACACAAGGGGATTTCCTGGATGCTGCTTACTGAGGTGTGTTCAAGTTATGGCAATTCAATGAACCGTACACTTAATGATTTGTGCATTTTTTTGTATATTATACTTAAGTTAAAAAGTTTTTTTAATTTTATGACCAAAAACAAATAAAACATTCTATGTCCAGTATTTTTATAATTAAAATAAACACAGTTAACATTGCATAGAAAATGTCTGGGTAGAAATGCACCAGAATTTTAACAGCTGTTATGTTTTGGTAATACAACTTTGTATAATTAATATTTATAGAGCACGTATTACATGCCAGGTTCTATGTTAATGGTTACTTGCATTGTCTCATTTTACCCTCTAAAAAAACCTATGAATAAGAAACACAGGTTCAGAGACATTAAACTCTTTCTTGCTTTCTGTATTTTCCAAGTTAGGTCAAAAGAACGTATGTTATTTTTATAATTGTTAAAATATAAGTGTGCTCCGCATCCTGATGAAGTACACTGTTTTTGCCTACTGCTGCTTTTTTGGTTTGCCACTATTGAATGAAGAACAGAATAACCCCTCACAATTTCCCTTCTTCCCTTTTAAGTGATTTATGAAATGCTGAAGCCAGGATACTACCTAGCCTAGTAGTAAGAAAAACTGTTTATATTCTTCTTCCCCACTCTTCAGGCCACACCAACTCCTAGATGTAGAAATAGGTGTGGCAGTTTCAGCCCACTCCGTCTAGACGTCACTCTGGAAAATTTCCCAGAGTGCCTGGCTTCTGGAAAGAGTTTCCAGGAAATGAAGAAACAGATGGTGCTCTTCCCCTCTTGCTAAAAGAATATAAAATGATAGTATGCCTTTGAATCCCACTACTAGGCTACAAGGAGACAAACATACACCAGTAGAGAGCAGAGATGAGGAAGAAAAGCAGCGACATCCCAACAAAATGCCTCCTAGCAGAGTAAAAAGACTCATGAGTTTGTGAACATATGAATGCTTGGTAAGAGGGACAACACGTGTATATGGCCCATATTCAATAATTGGTAGGGAGCCCTGGTGGCACAGCTGTTAAGAGCTCGGCTGCTAACCAAAAGGTCCATAGTTTTAATCTACCAGCAGCTCCCTGGAAACACAATGGGGAGTTCTACTCTGTCCTGTAGGGTGGCTGTGAGTCGGAATCGGCTCAATGGCATCGAGTTTTCATATAATTAAAGCATAAAAGTGGTGTCTGCATGATAATTTGCATTTTTCTTTCTTTCTCAGATTTTGTCACCTAAAAGTAATTAAAATGGATTAGTTTCTAAATCAGTTATGTATTTGATATACATTATATTTGGTGGTGCAAAAGGTTAAGTGCTGGACTACTAACCAAAAGGTTGGTGGCTCAAACCCAGCCAGAGGTGCCTTGAAAGTAAGGGCTGGTGATCTGCTTCCGAAAGGTCAGTCTTGAAAACCCTGTGGAGCAATTCTACTTTGCACACATGGGGTTGCCAGGAGTCAGAATCGACTCAATGGCAATTTACAATAGCAACAACATGTTTCTGAATAATAAATTTGTATATTGACTAAGGGTCATTTTTTACTATTTTAATACTTTTGATAAATGTTATTTCTGTAACAAATTATCCCTGTAGAAAATACATTTCCTCCAAAATTTATGTGGCTACCAGCAAGTAGCCATTTTCTAATTTTATGACTCACTTGCAATATACGTTTTTCATATTATAAACCACACTGCTTCATTTTTGGCTTGCTATGAGCAGGAATAGTGTACGGTAAAAACTGAGATAAACAAAAAGGAGAAATTTGCTAAATGGGAGGTTTTGTTAGACTGTCCTGGCCTATTTCAAAAATTTTGTCTTAACCTTGTTATATTAATTTCATTCTATTTTGATATTTGAGTTAAAAGTATCTTGGGATCAATGTTATACTCCTGTAATTATTTTTTGAACTTGGTAATATTAACATGCAAAATAGATGGATATTTGAATAGTAAAAACATTTCAACCTTTAACAAAATCATGGTAACACCACTTCTCCCACATAATTTTAACTGCCTTATCTCATAAAGGAAGTATATGTGCTCATTTTATTCTCATTGATAATGAGGTAAATCACTAAATAGCAAACTACAAAAAGTTTTCAAAATAAATATCCACTTATAGATGAACTGAAGGTTGAGGAATTACCAGGCCCAACTTAGTTTATGTTGTCCAAAACCACCTTGATGTGGAGTGTTGTGCCGTTATTAAGTGCTGTTGAGTCTGTTCCGACTCATACCGATGCTGTGTATAACAGAATGAAATGCTGGCTGGTCTTGCGCCATCCTGATGATTAAGTGTTCTGCAATTCCCATTCTTCCCAATGTTACCCATAATTTGTCAGGATCCACACAGTCAAATGCCTTCACGTAGTCAATAAAACACAGGTAAATATCTTTCTGGTATTCCCTGCTTTTAGCCAAGATCCATCTGACATCAGCAATGATATCCCTTGTCCCATATCCTTTTTTCGGTCTGGCTTGACTTTCTGGCCATTCCCTGTTGATGTACTGCTGCAACTGTTTTTAAATTATCGCCAGCAAATTTGGAATGGGCACAAATATGGATCTCTTTCAGTTTGTTGACCAGGTAGCTGCCTTCCCAATTTCGTGGCATAGATGAGTGAGCACCTCCAGTGCTGCATCCATTTGTTGAAACATCTCAATTTGTATCCCATCAATTTCTGGAGCCTTGATTTTGCCTATGCCTCCAGTGTAGCTCAGGCTTCTTCCTTCAGTACCATCGGTTCTTGATCATATGCTACCTCCTGAAATGGTAGAATGTTGACCAATTCTTTTTCATACAGAGACTCTGTCTGTGTATTCTTTCCATCTTCTTTTGATGCTTCCTGTGTCATTTAATATTTTCCCCATAGAATCCTTCAATATTGCAACTCAAGGCTTCAATTTTTTCTTCAGTTCTTTCAGCTTGAGAAATGCTGAGTGCGTTCTTCCCTTTTGATTTTTCTAACTCCAGGTCTTTGCACATTTCATAAAAATACTTTGTCTTCTTGAGCTGCTTTTTGAAATCTTCTGTTCAGCTCTTTCACTTCATCATTTCTTCCATTCGCTTTAGCTACTCTATGTTCAACAGCAAGTTTTACAGTCTCTTCTGACATCCATTTTGGTCTTTTCTTTCTCTCCTGTCTTTTTAATGACCTTTTTCTTTCTTCATGTATGATGTCCTTGATGTCATTCCACAACTTGTCTGGTCTTTGGTCATTAGTGTTCAATGCGTCAAATCTACTCTTGAGATGGTCTCTAAATTCAGGTCTCTAAA